ATGCTCTTTCCCTTGAAGTCCTAACTCCTCTTCTAACTAAGATATACATCAACAACGAACTCTAGCTGTCTAGAAAGTCACTTCTGGGTATGTTACATGTCTTTCATGGGTTTTCACTAAAGCTTTGGGTCTTCTCTTGCTACCTTGCCTTTTGTCAGCTAATGTGCAGGTCCCTAGGTACAGAAGCTAAATTGGTAGAGGAAAAAGATCAACAGAATGAACAAACAGCAAGCTGACGTTGATCTTATACCACGTTTCAACAATACTTTAAGGGATAGATTTTTTTTTTTTTCAGATACATTTCAGATAGGTACAGAAACAGAAATGGAATCTTAAAGGAAACAAATCAGTTTGTCACTTGATCATTCCAAATCAATTTAAAGTCTCTGTTTACAAGTGTTTGTGAGGCAAGTCAACAGAAAGAGGAATGGTAAGGTCTTTCATCACTGTGCAGGTGTCAAAAGGAGTCAAAGGAAAGTGTTCAAAGGAAAGCTGGTCCTCCCCCCTCCTCCACCCACAAGGGGCAACTTTCCCTTCATGTTCACTGGGAACAATGTAGAGACAAGTTCACAGAGCATGCTGCTCTGACACCTCAGACCTGGGTCATCTGATGTGTAAAACAGAGATACAAAATGCATGTGTGTGTGTGTATGTGTGTGTGCTTGTGTGTGTGTGTGTGTGTGTGTGTGTGTGGTGTGTGTGTGTGTGTGTGTGTGTGTGTGTGTGGTGTGTGTGTGTGTGTGTGTGTGTGTGTGTGTGTGTGTGTGTTAGCTGTTAACAGTCCAGAGCACATTGCTGAGTGGCAGACAATACAGTGGGCAAAGTCAGGGCAGAAAAACAGGTAAAAACTCACTGGAAACAGACCCAAGTAAGAAGTGGGAGAAGTTAAAAATAACTTAAAAAGAAACATGTCAGAAAGATATGGTTACCAGTTGTGAGAGTTGCCAACACTTGTCAAGGCCAGCCGCTGAGAAGCATGGGACAAGGAAGGACATAGCATAGCTCACAGGGTGAACAGAGACAATTAGGGACACTGAATGATACAGAGACCTCCTCATTGGGTTTGGACAGGAAATTAGCCCCATGGGCTCATATATTTGAACATTTAGTCCCTGACTTAAAGCATTATTTTTGCAAGGTTGTGGAACCTTCAGTAACTTTGCTGGAGGAAGCAGGTCAGTATGGCACACCTGAAGTTTGATCGCCCAGCACCACTGTCTCCTGTCTGCTTCTTGCTCCCACTGCCATGTCTCCTTGCCAGGATGGACTTCATCCCCTAGAACTGTATGTCTCCTCCCTCCCCCCCAAAAACCCTGTACACCATGATGGACTCCATCCCCTAGAATGCCTTCTCTTTAAGTTGCTTCTTGTCAGGTATTTGAGCACAACAATAAGAAACACAATGAATGCACTCCTTCTACAAGGAGCAGCAAAAAAGTGCTTAGCTTGGAGAGCCCCAAGATTAAGTCTGAACTGGAGGACTCCGATGATGACAAGAGGAAAGGCAGAGAGGGAAGGGTAAGTGGCTGGCGAAGGGTTTCTCTCAGGTATCTGGACTAGATTATGGGGCAGGCTCTCTCACCCTGCAAGAATGTATTAGAAGGCAAGAAGTATAACAAAGGGATCATAGGTAATAAGTATTAAAACCTTAAGGGCTAGCTATACTCGCTCCAAAGCTACAAAGAGAAACCCTGTCTCGAAAACCCCCCCCCCCACAAAAAAAAAAAAACATCAGGCACTGTCACAATGCATGGCCCTGAATCAAAAGGAAATGTCGCTGTATAAAGACATGAAGGTCCTCTAAGACACAATATCATGCTGTTTTGAACTGCCTTGTATAGTTCATATGTGTCTTAGTTGGAGTCTTTTATTGCTATGAAGAGAAACCATGACCATGGCAACTCTTATAAATAAAAATTAATTGGGGTAGCAGCTTACAGTTTCAGAGGTCCAATCCATTCTCATCAGAATGGGGCACATGCAGGCAGATATGATGCTGGAACTGAGAGTCCTACATCTTGTTTTAAAGGCAACAGAAAATCTACTGACTCTCACACTGAGTGAAGCTTGAGAAAAACAGACCTCAAGGTCCAACCCCACCCACAGTGACACCCTTCCTCCAAAAAGGCCACATTCCTTTGGGGGGCATTTTCTTTCAAGCCACCACAGAATGAATCTGAAAATTACTTCTAAACTTAAAGCTGAGAAAAGACAGTTAAGAGCTTCTTGTTCAATTCTAAGGAATGGAATTATGTTAGACAAGCAGGGACATAAAACAAAGCTGGTTACTGGCAAAGTTAGAAGCAGAACCCAGGGCTCTTGTCTCCAGTTCAGAGATCTCACAGAGTTAATTATATTCTCTGAACAAGAGAGATCTGGTCATGAGCCGAAGGAGGCTGTAATATCCTACCATTCATTATTGAAACCAGAAAGATTCTAACTCCAGTTCCTAAGAAGTTTTCAAATGTCAGGAAATCTGGGGTTGGCCATGAACTGGGAGCTTATGAAACCACATTAATATTATCTGTTGAACGCTGACAACATCCTAAGTGAAGATAAAAACATTAAGGAACATCTATCTCCTGGTCAGCCATCTTTCCCAACATTTGCTATTTGTTGGACAGATATCAACCATTGTTTAAAGATGATCTCTAATAAAATTCTTTTTATCCAGGATAGAGGTTGAGAAGAAAAGGAATTAAGTCTGGTTTTTCATACATGGGGTGAAGCTTGAAGCAGTCTGTGGTCAGAAAGGGAAGGAGTTCATTCTAATAAACTAGCATGCCAATAAAACAATTTAAATAGGAAATGTTGAAAACATTTAAGAAACATCATTAAATATATATTGGAAAGTTATACACTGCACAAAAGTGTAAGTTACGGCTGAATGATAATCAGCATGGCTATGAAAAGACACTGAGAGGAAGAACCCAGGTAGACCTCACCATCCTTCAGCCCAGAAGATCATCGTAACCATGCATGAATGCTTCTCTAATGGAATGACTATGACAGAATTTTGCTCAACGGCAAACCGAGTCCAAACTCTTAAAACAAAAGATGCTTGAATTTTTGGGCAAGGCTGTAAAGCTCATTGAGAATATCACAGAAATCATTCTGTCAGAGAATTTAAATTATTCTGATGAGACTCAAGGGACAGACCTGTAAGTGTTTTCCAACACAAAAGCTTGGTATGCCCATGCTTAATGGAGAGGGTGCATTAGGACAGTTGTGATGAGTCAGAGCATCCTCACACAGGCATGGTAGTTTTGGGGAGGTCAGCTGACTTAGCCAAACCCTCTAGACATTCCTAGGAAGAAACATTAGTATTCCCCTCCTTATTTAACTGGTCATGGTGCTTTTGGTAGACTTGCCCAGTCAAGAAGGATCTCTCATAACACCCACCTCTACGCTACTACTGAAGAGAGTTCTTTCCAACATGTTCTACTTCCCTTTTACACAACAAGAGACTGACTGAATGTAGACACATCAATCACAAATCTAAAGCACCCTGTGCTATGTGGTGAGTATAGTGAAATTAGCTCCTAGTCCCCAAACTGGTGGTTTAATCAGTCACAAATCATCCTTGTCTAACTATGGTTCCCGTAGCCTGGCGACAATACATCCATATTTTTGTTGAAATGTATTTAGTTCCTCAAAGGAAAAAAATGAAATAAAAGGTGTTTCTGGTAAAAACAAAACAACAGAAAGAAAAGCCAGCAACAGGTGGCATTGCAAAAAAATTGATGACTCTGACAATTGCTTTGTATCAAGTGATAATAAATCTAACACACACACACACACACACACACACACACACACACACACACACACACACACACACACAAAACACAGATGCTAAGAGTCAAAAGAACACTGAAATAGGAGTTGAGAGGCCTAGTTCCAATACAATCCTTTGATCCCAAATCTGGAAGTGCAGAAAGGAAAAGACATAAAAAAGTATCATTATCTACTACTCTATGACCAGTGGCCTAATACATTGAGAATTTTTTTTTTTCCAGATCAGAACTATCATCTTTTTATGGCTTTAAGAGGCATGGGCTTCTTTATCAAAATAAAATTTATATAACCATTAGATAATCACAGAATCTAAACATAGATAGCATTAACTGTTGGTTAGTACATTAAATTTTTCTTACAATTGTTACTCTACTGAGTAGCATTTATTTATTTTTAGTTCAGCAAATGGGATGAAGTTATCAAAATGATCTAAAAATCATACATACTGATCATGGGTCTTAGTTTATAGTTTTGTCTTTTTTTTCAATTTCACTTCAAAGTTAACATGTAAATTTCAAGACGGTGGCACTGCCACATACTTGTAATACCAGCACTTAGGAGGTGGAGGCGGGAGGATCTGGAATTCAAGACAGCCTTGGCTAGGGAGTAGCAGGGTTGAACTCATAGAAAGTGATAAGAAATTTTATCACCTGGAATCTTCAGTGAGTGTTTTTTTTAGGTTTGAACATAGCCAAGGGGAGGCTTAGACAAAGAAAAAGTGAGGGTTCTGTGGTTCATGCACTGAGGTCGGTTAACTCGTTCACAGCCAAGGCATAGTCACTATCAGAAAACTAAAATATGACAGCACAGTCCCTCTGAGGAGGAAGTGACCAGTGTTTCCTTTTAGGCTATTTTTAAAGCTTTACTATTATTATCTTTATTTATGTATATGTGAGTGAAGGCCCTATGTGTGTCAGTGCCTGCAGAGGGATTGGGATCCCTGGGAGCTGGAGTTTTACAGGCACTTGTGAGCTGCTGACATGGGTGCTGGGAACTGAACACAGATCCTCTGGAAGAGAAGAATACCTCTGAAACGCTGAGTCATCTTCCCCGCCCCTCTTATTAAGAGAAAATTTAGACTCTGATTGAGTGCCTCCATGCTTCACCTCATCACTGGGTGATGAACCTCATCCCTTCCCATCCCCCTTGAAGTCAGCTGTCAATTGCTCATTTGCAAAATACACGTGTACTCCAGCCATTACCTCTAGGGAGTCACCTTCACAGTCTCCTTCTTCCGTGCCTCTGCCCTTCTCTTCGGTGATGGTATTCACCATTTCAAAAAACCTACAATGAGAGTTACTGTTCATGGCACATGTAATGTTAAACTCGCATGCTTCTTCACTTCGGTCAGTAAACCTGTTATTAGCAGGTGGAAAATTCATTTTGGGCACTAAACCCATCGAACATCCTGCCTCAGCCTGGCCAGCCACCAGCATGCTCAGAACTTTTGTATCGGTCAATGGAATGGGGCAGTTGTGGAACACAAGCTCTGTTTATAAAGAAGTACTGAATCGCCCATGATCTTGGTGAATATAATATTAATACTTGTATCTAACTGGCTCCCCAGCAGACATCAGGGTATTGGTTGATCACCCAGCTGAGGAGCAACTTAAAGGACCCAGCTGGAAGTGGGGCTACCCTATGGCACTAGCCTGAAATGGCCTCAATTATCATGCTCTCAGTTCTCAAGTGGAAAGACCCTCAGCCCAACCATTAAGTAAAAAGATCCCAAATCGACTTCAGAGCAAAATTCAAGAACCAAGAGTCTTTAGGCAAATAAACCATCAGAATCGGTCTGTGTGGTGGTGGTGGTGGTGGCTGTGGGGGTGTAGAGGTAATCTCAGACTGGTAGGATTTTACTAGAAATTTCTGATTATGAATAATAGTAAATACAACATGGACCTAGAACACTGAGGCTAGACAAAGTCATAGAAATGTTGAGAATGTGGACTTGGCTATCAGAGAAGATGGCTGGGTTCTACGTGAGCTTAGGCAAACTCTCCTGATTCTCTGGGTGTTTAGTTGTAAAGCTGGAGATATACCTATTTCACAGGCTGGGAAGATACTTAGAGCAAAACTTGTACAGTAAACACAGAGCACTGCATTCATAAATGTTAATGGTGCTTTGTTGCTGCTATTGTTATTAAAAAAAAAAAACAAAACAAAACAAAGCAGCTGCATTCTGGATATTCCAGAATGTCTAGTACCTGTAAATTTGATCACAGTTACTGTATCTTCCTTCTGCCTGAGCACTTCAATATTATCCATGCAGATTCTATAAATACAGCTTATATATGCTTTGGTGACAGAGCTACCTCTCTGCTTCTGTTTTTCCTTCCTTTTTTTTTTCCCTCTCGTTTTGTTGCTGTTGTTTTTCAAGACAGGGTTTCTTTGTGTAGCCCCGGCTGTCCTGGAACTTGCTCTATAGACCAGGTTGGCTTCAAACTCAGAGATCCACCTGCCTCTGCCTCCTACATTGTGGGATTAAAGATAAGTACCACTACTACCCAGTGAGCTACCCTCTTTGGATGACATTTTAAAATGCTTGTTATGTTTTATTTCTGAAGTCAGTTTCAGAGCCAAGCAATATAAGTGAGAAATACATTTGTCTCCTATGCTCTGAGTACAGTTGTGGGTGGTGGCTCACAAATGAATTAAGGAATGCGCCATGTACATGGGCTGCTGGCTTCATAGGCAGGGCATGCTATATGCAAGTCTAAGCACATGCACAGAGTAGGCTATCATTTCATGAGATTACCTACACAACTCAGAAACTATTTCCGTACCTCATTTTATTTTTCCATCCATTCATGTATCTACCCATTCAATAAAAACTCATTGAACATCTGGGGCCAAGGACTGTTCTGCCTAATGGGAACCAATGAATGAGGGCTTTTGGATTTTGGAATTTGCAGCTTATTTACAGAGTTCACTGTGCCGAATGAAACAATTTTTTCACACAATATATTTTGACCATGTTTTTCCCTCCCCCGATTCTTAACCTCCATTCCCACTGCACATTTCTTGGAGGTCAATGGCATGAAAACAAAGCAAAATCCTATGATTGATTGGAACAGGAGTAAATTCTGAGTAAGATTAAATTACCAGGAGTTGGAAACAAAAGTAAGGTCAATTAAGAGGGAAAAGAAAACAAAAGAACTTTTCAAAGTGGCTTTACAGGTAAACATTAAGACCTGAGAACCTGAGATGAAGATACATATCAGCCATTAATGGAAACCTTTTCACTATGACCATCATAACAGAATATAGAACACCTGGATGCAACCCACTGTATCCACCAGGGCCATGCACTTGCAGACACATGTGCTTGGGTCAAGTCCCCAATTTTATCCTTATTGGTTATATGATTTTAAGGTAGTTACCTCTCAAAAAATTCTATTTCTTTTTCTTCTTTTATGGAAGATGGCAATCATACCTATCTAATCGGATTTCACTAAAGATTAAAATCGATACTATGCCAGAGATGAGCATTAAGATAAAAGCAAAGTGCTGTCTACTGAATTAGCCTGTCAGTCATTTATTATGGTGATTGTTTGAAAAAAGAACGACTGTCGATAAAATTTAAGCTCAGACTAGCTCTTGCCTATATTTTGGCTTCTAAGTGGCATTCACTTCTCTTCTGCTTTATCCCCCATCACTGTGTTCTAAGGGAATATGAAATATTTAATTAACTAAGAGAAATATACCTGGGGAGAATATGTTCATAGATTTTTGGGTTATCTCTTTTACTGATGTAGAACAGATCCTAGGTTATGGGCCCACCAGAGGAGTCGGGCTCAAGTACTTATTTAACCAGGTAGTTCCACTAGGAGGTAGGGTGAAGAGTGTCCGAAGAAGACAGAAGTGGCTTTATGCTAAATACTCTGTCCATTGAAAATTTGGTACTCATCTATAAATAAGTAAGCATTTTTAAAATGAGGGGTGCTATTAAACAATTAACCAGTACACCCTGGCTAATGTTTTATTCGTATAAAATACTCTGTGACTAAGGAAAGGTCTGATTTGTTAAACAGAAATCCTAGACCTAATACCACAGGCTTATAAAGCAGTCTTTAAAATAAGGTGGCTGTGCAACTGCCCCACCATCAATTTTCCACTGAAGCCACATGCTTTACTTGAAAACAGTGGTCAAGTGAAAACAGCCCCTTCCACACTGGAGAACAAATACGTACTTTTTACAGTGCAGCTCTGTGCAGAAGTAGATCTGGAAATCATCAGAATTGTGAAGCACATAAAGGAAACAGCAGCGCTCTTCAAACTTGGAGATGCTGAAACAAACAAAACCCCACTTTATTCAGACACACACCAGTACTTCCACAGATGGCTAATGAAAAAGAAAGATAAATATTTTTTTGTATCCAAGCCTGCTATGACATCACTGTCATTTACAGCATGAAGTTATAAGGGGCATTTTCAAGACTAATAGTCCCCATACCATAATATTAAAATTATGTATTATTCCTACCCATCTTTAAAGAACAAGGCTGCTGCAGGGTGTTGAAAATACACATAAGACACATGTTGGTTTTGGCATGGACTTGAGTCCTGTCTCAAATAGCAGTGACCTGAGCTGAGAGGGAAGCAAATATCCCAGTTGGCTGCCTAGCCTCGGTGATTCTGGGCCTGTGCGAAGGGTTTTCAGAGATAACAAGGCAGTTCATACAGGCAGCAAAGTCACTGCACCAGTGCTTGGTGTGGACCTAGCAAGTACTTTACTTTAGAGCAGTGGTTCTCAACCTGTGGGTCACTGACCCCTTTGAGGGTCAAACAACCCTTTCGCAGAGGTTGCCTAAGACCATTAGAAAGAACAGATATTTACATTACTATTAATAACAGTAGCAAAATTACAGTTATGAAGTAGCAATGAAATAATTTTATTGTTGTCGGTCATCACAACATGAGAAGTTGCAGCATTAGGAAGGCTGAGAACCCCTCTTTAGAGCAATTTGAACAGTTTTGAGTTGGTAAGTTAGGACACGCTAGTTTACACCAGAAGTTGCCAATGTTTTCTGTAATGGGCCAGATGGTAAAATATTTCAGATTTTACAGGCCAAACCACTCAGTCCCACTAATGGAGCATGGAAGCGTTAGATACAAATGAGACTGTGGTTGTTGTCTAACAAAACTTGATTAATAAAACCAGAAAAGGTTCCCATTGGTCCAGGAACATAACTTATCAGGCCACATCATCACATTTGCTATTTCTTCATTTTGGAATACAAAGCTTCTTTTGGTTTTGAGAATGGTCTTCTCACATGTCTGAGGATGGCTTCAAGCTCACTACGAAGTCCAGACTGACCCTGAATTTGTGACCTCTTGCCCTAGCCCAATGAATACAAGGATTACAGGCATGTGCCGGCATGCCCAGATTTTATATTTTCATTCTTTTAAAACTGATTCTAGTCACCATCTAAGGTCCAGATGAGACCATTTCCCCTGTAGCTTTACTATTTCCACTCCAGACAGAAGGACTCCTCCAATGTCTCTTCTCCAAATGTATTTCTAGCATGTCATTGCTCATCTCACATCGCATGGCCATTGGTTGTTAAATGCTTGTTACCCCTTCCCACTCAAATGTGAATTATTCAAGAGGACTCCCTTTTTTCTTCACTTTTCCATCTTTAGCCAACTAGGACTCAATATGACACACAGCTGATGCTCAATAAATGCCATTGGTTTGAGTTGGTTACATTTTGAGGTGATGCAAGGCAAACTGCTGACCTAGTTGGATTGCTTCTTAGTTTGTCATCCTGTCTTTATAGAGAAGGAAGCCAGAAAAGCTGGCTGTCTTTGAAGTCACAGGCCAGAACTCAAGTTTCCCAACATGTAGACCAGCAATCACCAAAGGAATGAATTCTACATACATGTCATGAGTCACAAGAACTGTTAGGGAGGGCTGCTGGGCCTAATTAATAAGACCTAAACCATTGTAAAACAGATCTGATGAGGTGAAATGCACAGTTACTATACTAAATGGATTGCCAAAGAAGGCAGCGATAAATAGAGTACCTTGCTAATGAGTGGTTTAAGAATTGAAATATTAAGAGTGTAACGATTTATTTAAGAAGGTATTGATTGGAAAGTCATGAGTCACACTCATAATCTGGCTTGTTTCTATTCAGATCATTCATGAGGTAACAGGTAGTTGTTCTACCAAGCAAGCTAAAATTATTGGTGACTCACTGCTCTACCAGTTCATGCCCTAACAAAACCAATTACTGTGATTGCAAAAGCAACAGGATATTGCACAACTGGCCCACAGAAGTCTGTTCTCTCCCATCCCCATTATGTGGGAATAAATAGTAGTAAACACGGTTTGGTTTGAAAGTTGAATGAGTTGCTGTGGCATAGGCTACTAAGATGACGAAGTTCCAAACACTAAACTGCTGATACCTGATTCTGACCCCTGACCACCTTATTTCTAATTCCCAGGAGAGAGCCCATTTTTTTCTGAGCCATTGGCATTATGACAAAGTTTTAGAACTGAACTGAAATTTGTCACCGTGACCCACAAACACAATTGCATCAATAGTGACATTGGGGAAAAATTTCATGAATTCCCCATTCAGACGTCATCATTAATATGAGATCCTGCGTATAACCTGGTAGATGTCCTGTAGACCTGCTGATGACCTAATGGACAGAAAGCCATCTTACAGCTTAACCAAAAGGTTAGCCAGCAGGTGAGGACCTTCACGTGGCTCCCTTTTTGCCACATGTGGATTCCAGGCCACAGTTCACATTTACCCCGCAGTGATGAACATGGGGTCAGTTCAAGGATCCATGACAGTGAGGTGATCTTTACAACGGGGCAGAGAAGCTGCTGGCTGAGTCTTCACAACAAAGAAGGAACCCTGAAATGTTTTCCAACTTAAATTATGATTTAGAGTCCAACCTAGGCTCTGAATATTTCAGAAGAGTGTCTTCTAAGCACACAGGATATATCCCGGGGAAGCGTACCTTACTCCTCTGATAGAGGAAGCACTGAAGTTCCACTCATGTATACCTTTCTGAAACACAGAAGAACAATGACAAAAAAAGAGTAAGTCATCCACATGGAAAATAACATCATAAAATAATTTAGTTTTATTAGTTTTAACAATAGTCATTTTTCCTGATGCCAATGAGTAAATTATCTAAGGAGGCTGAACTCACAAAGGGTGATGTTTATTTACTAATTCCTTTACTTGAAGACAACAATGGCTTTCAAAAAACCTGCAAGTTACTGTCATTAAATGTAAACCTTAATTTTAGTTGTAACTATTATGCTTTAATTTTAAGTAAAACACAAACCAAAACAACAACAACAAAACACAGTGATCAAGGTAATTAGATCGCTGTAGTCAGTAACTTTCTTCTTCTTTGTATAATTGCCAATTATTTTCCATGTATTTGTGTGTTTGAGTACACATCTGTGGGGTCTGCAAGTGCAGGAGTGCGTGTGCGCCCACGCGAGCAATCTGATGATTTCGCTATTGGCCTGGAGCTTGTCACATGAGCCCCAGGGATCTGCCTGTTTGCACCTCCCCAGATCTGGGAGTGCAGATGCACACCACCACACCTGGATTTTTTGTTGGTCCTGGGAGTAGAGCTCAGCTCACACTTGTGTATAGCACTATACTGAACGAGTTATCTCCCTGGACTTAGCAATATTTATTTTCTGAGGAAGAAAAGCTATTAATTTGAATAAAATCTCTGTAAGGTTTTAAAAATATTTCTGAATTATTTTTGCCTTTTGAATTTGAAAGAGGGGGTATATTTTTGTAACCCAGACTGGCCACGAACTTGCGATCTTCTTTGCCTCAGCCTCTAGAGTGCTGGGATTCCAAAAGCGTGCTATCACAGCCAGCTTGGAATTAACTTCAGGTAAAATCTTCAACAAAACTAGTACTTGGTGTGTTTCTTCTTTTTCAGAAATTAATTTGTGTGTGTGTGTGTGTGTGTGTGTGTGTGTGTTTGTGTATAGGTACATGTACAGAGTGCCTATTACAACTGTAAAGGATTAATACCTAATTTATGCAAAGCTTAATATGCTAATAATGTTTGAACATAAAACTTGGGTAATTATGTGATAGGTAGATATGGGTGATTCCCAGAGTCCATATTTAAAAAAACTGAAAATTTCTCTCTCAATTATGACTAAACATATCACAATAATTATCAGATAATTGTCCTTATATTATTTTTCCCATGCAAATGTTTGGAAATCTCAACATGTCCCGAGCTGACATATTGGGATGCAATCAATGAAGAGGAGATTCTTACACACCTAACCCGATAGGTATGGGACCTGCATGCTAGTTCAGATGGCCATGACGTTTACCCTGGCTTTCAATTATTCCTCTTAGCAAAGGCTAATTCCAGGGTCTATACCCTAACCACTTATGTTCTCTGATTAAAGAAGGCTGCCAGATACTCCGTCATCAAACTCACAGTTTGGGGTAATTATTCAGAACATCCAAGCAGGTTTTTTTTTTTTCTTTTGAAAGCTTTGCTAGACAGTCCTATAAAAATGACTAAACAGGATTCAATTTCTCTTTTAAATTGTCGATCAGATGCTGACTTGAACTGATTTCCTTTACCAAGAACCCAGGCGATTGCTCCTTCTGCAGGAGTCTGACAGCTAATTACAGCTAACTTCTCTAGAACTCCGGCTGTAATGAAAAGACCTAATGGATGACTCTGAAATTATGCTAGGCAATGAAAAATGTCTCAAGTTCTTTCACTAAGCCAGTGACCTTACATCAGTCTTACTAACACCTATGAACAAAGCCTGCCTGGGATTCTTTAGATGGTTTCCCTGTCTGGTCTCATCCTCCAATAAGGATAAAAGTACCTTACTTATTTTCTTAGCTGTACCGTTAGTAAACATTATAATAGAAATAAAAAAAAAAGCCTGTTTGGCCATGACTTAAAATTAAAATTAATAGCATGGTAAAGTAAAACGACTAGGAAAGCAAGCTCTTGCCCACTGCTATGAGGCTGCAGTCTTGACTGGGCTAGTGAAACGGCTGCTGAACTTTGCAGCTCTGAGGTGGCCAAGAACTCTTCTCTTGGCAAAAGCAACTCAAAGAGTTACAATTTCTATCCATCGTTCCTAAATCTTTGCTAGGTCCGTGCAACGAGGATTGTAGACAGATCCTCTCAAGTCTAATGCAAATTACTAAAAAACCTACGTTAGATCACCTTACTGGGGTTTGAGACTAGTTATCATATAGCAAGTTCTATCATCAGAAGATGTAGGGAACAGTATAGAAAGGTCTAATAGAGAGCCCAGGGCATGACCGAGTCACTAAGGCACTTACCATGCAAACACAAAGACCCAAATTTGATCCTCAGAACCCATGTAAAAATGACAGGGAGTGGTAGGTCCCATGTAATCCCATCACTGAGAAGGCAGAGACAGAAGGATCCCTGAGCCCCGCTATTCTACCTTTCTGACCTAACTGGTGAGTGGCAGGCTATTCAGAGACCCCTTCCAAAAGGGGTGGACAACACTCACGTAGTTGCCACCTGAGGCTGTCCTCTAGCCTTTACACACATATACATGCACATGAACCTGCACACATATATGGACTGTTATACACATGAAAATGTGTATATATACGTACATTAAAAAAGGGCCACATATAAAATAACTGGGCAGAGGCAAATTAAAATAGCAGCCTCTGCTCTCAATTTACATGTGGTTCTAATGTCTGTCAACCATAGGTCAGTGTCTAAATAATAACTACAGCCCAGAGGCTTGGCTGCTGATCCCTATACTGCCCCCACAAAATGCATCCTTAACTCTAAGGCCAGCTACTGAGCTGTTACCCATGGCCATGGTCAGGGTTGGAGGTGGGGATGAGAACAGAGCAGGCTGGGTAGTGAACAAAGCAGCCACTGAACATGGCAAGCATACACGCAGGTAAGGTGACTTCGGCACATCAGCTTTTCAACAACCCTTCTCTGGAGAAACCAAGGAGGATAGACTTGGCTGATTCAGCGGGAAAGGAGCAGAATGCTTCCTGAATATCTAGTTCCCCAAAGACTGTGCTGCCAGGTCAGCTTTGAATACAGGGCTCTTAAGCTCCAGGGCCTAAGCACTGCAAGAGGCCTTGCCTGCATGGCGAGAGGGACTCACCACAGGGAGGCACTGGTGAGCCGCAAAGGGAATTGCAAAGGCCCAAAGATGTTGAGTTGGAATGATTAATTAGCCTCAGCAGGCCTCGCACCACGTTTACCTATTTGAACCAGCGCAGCACCATTTTCTAGGAACTGGTCCACTCTAGATCCTGCGCCTCAGCCATAGCAAGAATAAGAACTAGGAGTTAACGATAAGGATGACAGAAATAATTTAATAATTACATTCTGTCAGGCCTTATTGCTATCTGATGGGCCACTGAATTCAGTCTAAACTGGCCTATTACAATACGTTCATTTTCCTTGTTAGTTATTGGCTCAGGCGTGATACAGCTTTTGTTATGAGTGACAGGGCTGGGCCCTCCTTTCTGGGATGCTGTCTGTCTCAGGCAACGCCTGTACCATGTGTTTAAGCCCACGAGAGGACAGCCAACCACTTACAAAGAACTTGGGTCAGAACCCTGACACAAAACCCCCTCAGAAAGCCATCTCAGGATCCTTCAGGATAGGAAATACCATTTCCTTAGTGTTTGAGCTGTTTTACTTGGGACTTAGAGCTGAACACAGCATGAATGGAAGGGAGGGAGTGTCTACTTGGAATTGGGTAAGAATTCTCCTTCACACAATCTACATGGCCACTGGCTAGAGCTGGGGTGACAGAGGATAGGTAGCCTTTAAGTTTTGAAGGGACTCTTCCAGCCACACTTGTGATTTGAGAAGCCACAGCACAGGCCAAGAGTTGCTTAAATTTCAACCCTAAAAGGGAGGGATTTCAAATAACCACACCAAATATCTTGCATATTGTTATGATAAAGCATGTGGGTGAACTTGGCAGATTCCATGTCAGCGAGGTTGACCGAGGTGGAGGGACAAACATGCCTGACAGACAGAGACAGAGCTTAAGTGAGCAATATGAAGCATATAGTCTTAAACAATACAACAGTTTATCCCACATTTTAGAACTGTAGGCAAAGAAATAAACATGACGAGTGAAAAAGCAGTATTCTCAATTCTAGAAAACTTAAGGCATTCTATGTCAACATCCATTTCCTGCTTACCATAAGACCTATTAAATTGGTTGTTTACCTGTTAACTATAGACTTAAGACTGGCAAAAAAGTTTTTTATTGCTTGTCTTTGTTGCAATCTTACCACTTCTGCTGTTAAGAGGAGAAAATGATGAGATGGTATGTGCAACTTACAGAGAATCAACTCACAACCCAAAGGGACACTGCCTGGCAAAAGCTTAACTTTTTTCCTATTAATATTTTTTTATTCCAATCCCAGTTTCCCCTTCCTCCTCTCCTCCCATCTGCTCCTCAGAGAGAGTAAGTCCTCCCTTAGGAAGTCTACTAAGTCTGTTCCATCATCTCGTTGAGCAAAAGCTTAACTTTTTGACAAGGACAATTTTAATATGAAGATTATAGGGGATGGGATACCACAAATGCAGTCCGAGTGCATCAGAAAACAGTGGACGGGCTCAAGAGATGGCCTAACAGTTAAGAGAACCTGCAGAGGACCCAGGTTTGGTTCCCAGTACCAACATGGTGTCTTACAACCATCCACAGTTCCAGTTTCAGGGGACCTGGGATCCTCTTCTGACCTATGTAGGCAACAGAAACCACACATGGTGCACACACATGCAAGCAAAATGCTCATAAAATGTAAATGCTGTTTTTAAAGGCAGCAGAAGTAGGTGTGGGGAAAATTCACAGCCTTAACCAGTAACCCTTCCTCATGGACTCAGTTATGTCACAACATGTATTTCTTTTTTTTTTTTCTGGGTGGTCTGATTTTTTTCATTCATTTATTTAGCTCATAAATAAAGTCATGCACAATTATGATACAGAATACAGTATGTTAACAATAGCATGGCTAAATTAAACCAATTAACATGTTATATCACACATATTCATCATTTTTGTTTTGAGAACACTTAAAGTATACTATCTCACAACTTTTAAAATACAGCATATTGTTATCAACCATATTTATCATGCTCTCAGTAGACCTCAAGACTTCAGAGAGTCCATGCCTCTTGTCCTACTGCAGTTTTATACATGTACTTCTTAGCACAATGGAAAAGCTGCCTCTAAAACTGTCACAGAGTAAGAACACCCGTATCAGACCCACTTCACTGAACAGAGAACCGCTCTGAAAGAACAAACAAAAAATGACTAGCTGGAAGTAGTACTGTTTCCAAAAATCTCTGGCTCAATGTTTTCTCTTTTCCTGTCTTCCAAATTCTATTGGCTAATTCTCAGGATCGTGTTCATCGCTAATTCCTTTAGCCACATTCTGGTCCAAGTGTCCCTGGGTAACCTTGCTCTTCATGGTTAAGCCTCTGAAAATCTCTCCCAGTCTTGTTCTCTCCCCAGTATAAGAGCATGTCTGCACCCACCTTAAAGTGCTGTGAACAAAGTGCTGCCCTTTAAAGCAACATGACTAGAACTCACATATAGCCATGCTGACTGAGCCCGATTTTGTCTCTGTAGGTCATCAGCTCCAAGTACCCAGGTCCAAAATAAAACTCCTGCACAATTCACCTTCTAAACACCCTACCAGTGTTATCACCATCAGACTTTAAGCCTCCTAACACTTACTCATCCCTCTTAGTTTCTCCCCTAATGAGTGATTGAGTCATACATTTATTTTTTTAAATGGCCTGTCACTCTGCGGTGGGGATCCCGTTGCCCAAGTCACTTATTTAGCTACTTCATTTCTAGCTCTTTCCTTTAATATTCTTTTCTGTGATCCTCCAGGTCCCAAGATTTCCTAACTCTTATGTCAAGGTATAATAAGTTTTCCAACTACAGTGGTAACATCATTAGCCCATGTTCTATGCATTTAGCCCTGTGCTGGAGAATTCCTGGAAATTATCTCATGTACTCTCCGCAGCCGTCCCATAAGGCACATTACTGTCTTTTCTCCACACACGGAGGCTACAGGAAGAGTTACGTGGACTGCCCAGGTCACCCAGCAAATAACAGCTCACAGCAGCCTTCACAGCTGTGCAGCTTCACTCTGACCCTGTTCCTGGCCACTCTGTGCTGCACTGTTGCCAGCTCTTAGACTAAGCAGCTTCAGTGATACAGTGCTTCCTCCCAGCACATGTCTAAATTCTCTTTCTTCACTCATGGAACAGGTTGCGATTTTATACCATCCTGCCTATCAATATATTTCCCATCACCATCACCCCCTGGTAAGCCAAAAAGGTCCCTCACCAGCCCCAAACACCCAATGCTCACATTTGCTCACGGTGTCTCTGGTGGAATTTGCTCTATTCTCCCAACCTGCGATCATTGCTTAGTCCCACCCACAAGCAAAGCCCAGACTCCACATCCTTTCTGAAGCCTCCCAAAGACATTGTGCCCTACTCATTGTTCCTCACCGAACTTCACAGACTAAAAGTCCAAAAGGACTTCCGCACAACTCGGCTTGGTTCCCTGAGCCACAGAAGTCCTTATAGTCAGGAAGCAGGAGTGTCACACTGGTCACGGTGCTTTCCTCAGGTGTAGTGTGACCCTCCAGGGGAGGACTCACTTATGTCTAGAAATGTTGCCGATGTGGGTGTCGGGCCATTATCCCCTTACAAAGTGATGAACATAGAGGATGCCTTGGCTGTCATAAAGTTTCTTATCAAGGCAGTTTACTTTATGAATAAGTCACTACTATAAGAAAAGACAACATTAGTACCTTTGGGACTATTGTCATTGTAAGGGCTCATAATAATACTGCTCACAGTAGCAAGTCCTAGCACTTTGGTAAGGTGTGTTTATCTACAACCTGTTAGTACAGCCAGTCCATAGCTGTCCTATGAAAATGGTGGTGGGGGGGGGCAGTGATCCACAGGATGGATCTGAAAGGCCATGGTTCTGAAAGGGGCCTCTTAGATGCAGCTGGCAGACCTATGTTTGAAAGTGGATTACTGTGCACACTGACAGGGTGATTCCACGCTATCCAGCATTTAGCATGTCTGCCAAAACACTGCAACTTACCAGACTTAACATGACCAACTCATCCAGACATACAATAGCTTACACCATCAGTACAAACAGAATCTGGATGCTTCCAGGGAGCTGGCCGGTCATTTTAAACACAAGGCACCCCCTTTTTCTATACACTAGAGCTCTGTTGACAGGTGGCTCATAGCTGTTTTGATAGAGGTTACAGGGCCTGGCCATAACTGGAATTTGGGAAAGGCTTAGGCCAGCCGATGTGACTATTTCCGCATGGCTTATTCTTCCTTTACTATAGACATGCTGTGTGGATGGGCCTGCTGAGCTTCCTACAGCGGTGGTTAACAAGTGTGAGTTCTACTAACCAGGTGGGACACAGAGTAGAAATCCAGATTTGAAGTCACTTCTTGTCACTCAAATGCTGAGGTCTCCAGGAGATATCCTTTGAAAACCACTATCTCTAGGAGCCTAATTTAGTCATAAAGTCAAAGATTCTTCATCACTGGCTACAACTGAGTCATTTAAAACTTGTTCTCAACCACAGACACAATTCAGAATCAAACAGCAATTTTCATACATATGAGTGTGTGTGTGTGTGTGTGTGTGTGTGTGTGTGTGTGTGTGTGTCTAAGACCCTTTTGGAACCAAGTGGAAATCCATCCTACCTTATTTTACTGAGACCACATTGAGTTAGTGCTAATCTGAAATTTAGTAGCTATTTAGATAAACCAGAAGCCAGGTGCAAAGATAACTATGGCTGGCCCAATGTAAGCCTTCAAGTGGTTTTATTCTAACAGGCTTCCTAGAATTAACAGAATTTACAACTTGTTTTAAAACACATTTCTTTGGCATAATTTTGAAAAATTACTTTATAATTTAGGTTACAGCATGAGTTTCTAAAACAAAGAAATATCTTTTTTTTTTTTTTTTTTTTTTTTTTTTTTTTTTTTTTTTTGCGAA